TGTTTGAAATGCGTTTTCTCACACCATAAAAAGCAGAAATGGAAAGTAATCGCTAGTGGGAGGGAGGGCTGGGCACCGAGTTTTTATTTTGGGTTATTTTTGGGTTGATTTTCAGTGGTTTTGGGGGATCCCGCTCGGCTTGGAAACTGCAGACCCCAAAATTATTGAGGTTATTTCCATGTTGAAGTGGCTTTTCCTGGAAATCGCTTCACGGATATTCAGGGTAACTCCAGTTTATTTGCACCAGGTTTTCACCAGATTAACTTCAACCCCTTCAGTTTCCCGTGCCCAGCTCCCGTCTCCTGAGCCCTCTTTATTTGGAAAGCAGGAAAAGATTTTGTTGCTTTTTTTTCTTTTCTTTATGTGTTCAATTCCAACCCGTTCCAGTTTAATTTTGGGAAAGCTGAAAAGTGAAGGAAAGCAGATATTCCCAAAATAAAAAATATTGTTCGAGGCCCTTGATCCAGCAGCTGGAAATGCAAATTTTGCTGGGAGCTGGGTCTGTCTCTTGGTACCCAAATTGGGTCATAAAAATGCAATTCCAGGGATGTTTTTCTCCAGTTATTATTAAAAACCTGGGAGGTGGTGCCTGGGGTTATCAGCACAACCTCCTTTCATGTGTGTACATCTATAATTCACTATATTAACATCCCTCAGCAGCTCCTTAACCAGTCTGATGGCAAAAATGGGAATCTTTAAGAGGGAATTCAGGGGTTGGGAATGCGGGCAGCAAGACAGAAAATTGATTGGTTGTTTGAACTTTCACTTAAGAAAGACTTAATGGGATGAGGATTAATTAATCAAGGGGGTCTCTGGGGCTGCTGGGACCCCAGAGGTCAAGATAACAGGAAATGGATCAGGTGGGTCAGGCACTTCCAGGATTTTTGTGGATGCTCTTACTGAGATTTTGATTTTTAGCTTTGCCCACTGAAGTTTTTCCTTCTGGGGTGTGTTGGGAAGAGCATTCCCAGCAGGTCAGGGCTGATCCTGCCCCTCTGGCCAGCCCTGGAGGCACCTCTGGGGTGCACAGGAGCAGAACAGGCACCAGAGAGGGGCTGGAATCTCCTCCTGGGGATATTCCAGAATATCCACAATCCGTGCCCTGAGCTCTGGGGTGAGCCCAGGGCCCCCCGTGGTCCCTCTGAGCTCTCCCAAACTGGGGGGCTCCTTTTAGCAGCACTGAAAGAAAGAAGCCAGGTTTAAATCCACGCTCAGTATTCAGCAAAGCTGTGATCAGATCTCGCTTCATCCATCTTTTCATGCATCTTCTTACTGGGGTCCATGGGATTCTGGGATTCAGGGATTTGGGATTCAGGGATTTGGGATTCAGGGATTCTGGGAGTCTGGGATTCAGGGATCTTGGGATTCAAGGATTCTGGGATTCAGGGATTTTAGGATTCAGGGATTTGGGATTCAGGGATTTAGGGATTCTGGCAGTCTGGGATTCAGGGATTTAGGGATTCTGGGAGTCTGGGATTCAGGGATTCAGGGATTCAGGGATTCTGGGAGTCTGGGATTCAGGGATTTTAGGATTCAGGGATTTGGGATTCAGGGTTTCTGGCAGTCTGGGATTCAGGGATTTAGGGATTCTGGCAGTCTGGGATTCAGGGATTTAGGGATTCTGGGATTCAGGGATTTTAGGATTCTGGCATTCAGGGATTTGGGATTCAGGGATTCTGGGATTCAGGGATTTAGGGATTCAGGGATTCCGGGAGTCTGGGAGTCTGGGATTCAGGGATTTTAGGATTCAGGGATTTGGGATTCAGGGTTTCTGGCAGTCTGGGATTCAGGGATTCTGGGAGTCTGGGATTCAGGGATTCTGGCAGTCTGGGATTCAGGGATTCAGGGATTTTGGCAGTCTGGGAGTCTGGGATTCAGGGATTTTAGGATTCAGGAATTTTAGGATTCAGGGATTCTAGGATTCAGGGATGCAGCTGAGCAGAGCCCTTGCAGAGGGAGCCGTGGCAGAGCACAGCCAGGCTCAGACAGAGAAATCCATTTCAAGAAGTGCAGCAATGAAAGAGTGAAGCAAGTCACACCTGGAGGAGGCAGCTTCCATCCCTGGGCTGGGATGCTGTACTGGAATTCCAGTCCTGGGATTCTGAGGTCCTGAAATCCATGGATTGCCTGCTGAAATGAGGGGGTGATGACTGAATCAATCCCATTTCAGAACCTGCAGTGTCACCCCAGCCCAGGGCTCACTCTGGGGAGGATTTGGGGAGTTTATTTTAATCCCTGGAGATTGAATTCCCTCCTGTTCCTCCCTGTGACCTCCCATAAACTCTGATTAACAAGCAGGTGATGCTGCAATTCCACAGAATTTCACAGAACTCCACAGGTTTTGTGCACTTTTTGTTCCTCCTGAAGCCCATTTCATGCAGTTGGATGTTGCTTTTTTACCAACAGGATTTTATCCTGAAGGAAAGCTGCCTGGAAAAAAATAAAATAAATTAGATATTTATAATATCTGGACTTGTTACTCAGCAGAAAAATCTAATTTCAATCTGCATCTTCACCAGTGACTTTTGAAAAGTTTGGGAGTTTAAATCCTGCCTTGTAAACAGATGGAACAAACAAAATGTAAAACTCATCTCCTTAAAGAACAACAAAAGGATATTTTCCAGATGGGCTTTCTGATGGGAGATCAAAGTCCTCGTCTCAGACTTGGGAAATTTCCCTTTCTTGCTGGTATCAGTTTTATCTGCATTCAGATCATCCAGCATTTGGGATTTTTTTTCAACAAAGGCATTTGTCTTAAAGGAGCTGCAGGAGGATGCTCTTAAAGCAGAAGAAAATAGAAAAGATTTTACTAAAAATAGGAAAAAAATCATCTGGGTGGGTAAAGGGGGGAGGAAAGTCTTTGATTCCTTTGGTTTATACAAAAATGAGACATGGCAAAATCCCAGCTTCACCTGCAAAATGGAATAGTTGAAAGCAAAATGAAATAGGAAAGAGTTGAGGGAACTCATTTGGACCAACTCCTTTTTGGGCTTTTCTGATTTCAAACCTCATCCAAACCGGTCCTGTGGGCAGAAAAGAATCCCTTGGTGGTTTCAGAGGAGTCTGCATCCCCTGAGGAGCTGCAGTGACAAGGGAGGAATGGCTGCCAGTGGCAGAGGGCAGGGCTGGATCTTGGGATCTTGGGCAGGAATTGTTCCCTGGCAGGGTGGGCAGGGGCTGGGATGGAATTGCCAGAGCAGCTGGGGCTGCCCCTGGATCCCTGGCAGTGCCCAAGGCCAGGCTGGACATTGGGAGCTCCTGGGACAGTGGGAGGTGGCCCTGCCATGGCTGGGGTGACTCTGGATGGGGTTTGGGGTCCCCTTGATGTCCTGCATGACAATTTTTGGCTAAAAGAGCTGCGAACCCTCAGCCCCAGAGACAAAGGAGGAGTTTTCCCCTTGGAAATTTTAATCTGGATTTCCCTCTCTTCTTCTCTGGTGTTAGGGCATGGGTTGGACTTGATGAACATCGAGGTCTCTTCCAACCTAGAGATCCTGTGTGGAATTCTGTGGGGAATTTGTGGAATTCTGTGGGGAATTTTTCCTGCGTGGTATTAACGGGAAACAGCAGAAGAGCTTCACAAGGAAAAAAAAGATTAAAATAAATGAATAAATAAAATAAAATAAAATAAAATAAAATAAAAAACAACATCAAATAGAATAACATAAAAGAAATAAAAACATATATAAATAAAATAACATGAAATAAATAAATAACAACATAAAATAAAATAATAAAATAAAATAAATAACATCAAATAGAATAACATAAAATAAATAAAATCATATATATAAATAAAATAACATGAAATAAATAAATAACATAAATAAAAAACAACATAAAATAAAATAAAATATAATGAAATATAAAATAAATTATAAAATAAAATAAAAATAAAATACAATAAAATATAAAATAAAGTATAAAATAAAAAATAAAAAAAATAAAATAAAATAAAATAAAATAAAATAAAATAAATAACAAAATAAAATGAAATAAAATAAAATAAGATAAAAATAAAAAATAAAATAAAATAAAAAATAACATAATAATAAAATCTAATAAAATATAAAATAAAGTATAAAATAAAATAAAAATAAAATATAAAATAAAATAAAAAATAAAGTAAAATAAAAAATAAAATAAAAAATAAAATAGAAAATAAAATAAAATAAAATAAAATAAAATAAAATAAAATAAAATAAAATAAAATAAAATAA